ACTACTCCAACGCGGAGTTCAGGAACAAATACGAAGAAGAAACACCGGAAGTGGGGCACCGCCAGTGAAAAGAACGAGAAACGACACCGGCACAAGGACGAACAACCCGACCAACCAAAGACCGCCCCTGGGAAACAACGAAGCTAATCCAAGAAGCTTCCCTTGCCCAAGATGCAACAAAAGCCACAGGGGCAAGGATTGCGCGGGCAATCCCTGGCGATGCTTCAACTGCGGGGAGGAAGGACACAAGGCCTTCCAGTGCACTCGACCCCAAAGACCACGCCCCACCACCGTGGGTCAACACGGGGGCACCGATCATCAAGGGAGTTACGGCGCTCCCGGGAAAGTATTTGTCATAAGCCACACTCAAGCCAACCTCGGGAATGAGGAGGACCTCGGGAAGGAAAACCCAATCCCGGAAGACGAGGACCATACGGACCTCGCAGAAGAAAACCAAGAAGACGAATACTGTCTAGGATAAATCGTCACACCCCCTTGTAACCACCCCCCTCTTTTGTCATACAGACCACTTACTTAGCTTAGCTATTTCGGAATTATTATGAATAAAGATTTTTTTTGATCAAATTCCAATTTCCACTACAAAGGTAAAACACAAGTTACACTATCAACCCAACCTTCCCTCCACTGAAGGACGAAACAAGGAAAAAGACAAAAAAAACCACACCATCAAGAAATACTTTATGTTGCCATTAGGAATGGAACCTTGGACCTCCCCCCTACAAGTTAAAGCCTCAACCACTAGCCCATGAGTGTTTCTTGAAACCTCAAGGGAATACTCCCTTGTTAAACCCCTCCAAGTCCCTAAAACCCACAAAATCCCCAAATAAAAAACCCTCCTTCTTCTTCTTCTTCCTCCCCACTCCCTCTCCTCCTCCCTCTCACACACCCCGCTGCCCCACCATAGCAACCACCCACAATCACCTCACGCTATCGCCAATCGGACGCCGCCACCGCCCGGCCACTCCCCGCCGACCTCGCCTCGCCTCGCCGCCGTCCAAACTGCCACCGGAGACCACCCGCTATCCACCCGAACGCCACCCAGCTGCAACCCGCTGCCCAAACGCCACCCCCACGCCGTCGCACCAACCCAGAACCGCCTAGCCGCCACCACCTCGCGACGCCACACTGTCGGAGACCCCACCAGAAAAAAATCGTGCCAGAACACCACCGCCATCTCGCCGGAAAACACGCCGGAGGCCCACCGGAAAACTCACCGGAAAACCGCCGCCGCCTCGCCGGAAAAGAAGATCGCCGGAAAAACGTCGGAAAACGTCGCCATCAACCGAAGCACCACGATGCCAAAGAAACCCCTCGGAACCCGCACCCCGGAGTGGAGCAACGCCGATTACACCGTGATCGGAGGTAAAGCACTTGAACCCGACCAATTCTCTCCGGAATTGGTTGATATGCTCAAACATCAAGGGCTTTTAGATACGTATCTCACCATCAAAGGGGATACGTACCCCGAATTGGTGAAAGAGTTCTATCAACACCTTGTAGCCACCAAACGGGGTGACAAGGTAGAAATCACCACCAAAGTCCGTGGCAAGGAAATTGTGCTTTCCGAAGGCCGTTTGGCCAAGCTCTTGAAATTGACCACCACGGGTGTGTCTAACTATGACCGAAAGGGGTGGATTGATACCCAAAATACGGGATACAAGGACTACCTCGGGTACCTACTCGGGAAGGAGGACGGGTTCACCTCGGCCACACGGCCAAACCGGAAGTGGCTATCGGCAGAACAAAAGATATTAGTTATGATTGTAACCGATAGCCTCTTGCCCACCAATAATAAAAGCAAGGACGTAGGGAGCCTAGAGTGCACCTTTGCTTATCTCTTGAAACATAGAATCAAGTTCAACCTGCCGGCACTCATGCTAAAGCACATGGAATTCTGCAAGACAAACAACCGGCTTAGTCTACCCTACGGGATGATCCTAAGTTGGATCATGGAAAAGAAAGGGGTGGACCTAAGCCACACCGAGGTCAAAACCGCCAATGGTATGGTTTTCAATGCTCAAAACCTTCGCCGCAATGACATCTACTTCACCGAAGGGGGACATTACCTCACCTTCGAAGAAATTTGCCAAAAACCCGAGGAAGAGCGGAGAGAATTGGTTGACCGGTTGGACATCTCCAACAAGAAGCTCAAGCGAGCCATCCAAGATTGTGGGGGCTCGGAGGGAAATGAGGAACAGGAGGAGGATGACAGGCCTAACCCGTTAGTGCTCCCACGGTCAGGAGGGGACCCGAGGGGACAGGACGAGGGTTCGGTCAATGAGCGCATTCTCGCACAACTCAACCGACAGAACCAAATCATGGAAGAAGGGTTCTCATCCTTGATTCGCACCACACGCGCACTCGATCAGAGGGTGGCAGCAATCGAGGCCACCTTGGGCACTCGTGGGGCGTCCAGTTCCAGCGCAGGAAACCGAGGTACACCCAGAACTTCTCTATCACAACGCCATCAAAAGTTCAGTCTACCCCAAGCCATGACAAACGTAAGGTCGCAACCCTAATCAGGAGGCCGAGCTACGAGGTGTCTAGGGGTGAAAGGATGGACTTTAACACCGGGCTTCGGGGACGAAGCCCCTTGTAAGGGGGGGAGAGTGTAACACCCCGTGTTATGACCCCTAAAACCATTTAACTAATTAACCAACAGCCCAAGAGAAAGAATAAATTATAATGATCAATTAGGGAAAAAGGCCCACCATAGTCCATGGGCCCTCATATATAAACCCAACCCCTAAGCCCAATCCTTAGTTCCAAGAGGAATAGGATTAGCGAACCTATAATATTAGTTCCTAATTAGGACTCCTAAATATATAAATAGGGAACTTAAGAGGCACCTAGAACTCCCCACAAGATTAACGCCCCACCACCCCAAAAGAGCTCCAAGAATCCCCTTAGGAGAAATCAAGAAATCAAGAAAGCTTAAAGAAAGATCCTTCATAGCCAAGGAATTAATTAAGGCTAAGAGGTAACCCATGTCTCAACAAAACCTATTTTCATAGCTATGATTCCCCCTTAGGGTTTCCCCCGTATTATTGCGTATTGGCGAGATATGATGATTATTATTGATGTTTGATGTGATGATCCCACGAGGGATCTTGATGATCTTGATATTGGGAGATTCTTGATGATTATGGAATTCTTGATGATTATATAGAGTTCTTGATGATTATGTGTTGTTCTTGATAATTGTGTGATGCTCTTGATGTTTATGTGTTATTCTTACCGAATCTTGCAATTAAAAGACGAACCGTATACTTGTTGATATAAAAGTGATTAGAACCCTAGGTTGTATCGTATGATGTTATTCTTGGATTATCGGGTGGGGAAATCGCATGTTTGGGTGTTGATTATATTAGAAAAGCATGATAGGTTATGTGCCGTTCGTTTCTCGTATTTGATCCGTTAGTTGTCTACGTGTTAATTATTAGTTGCGTTGTAAAGTGTCTAAGCATGGTTTCGGGTTCCACAAAGGTTCCCGGGACGTTATTGTGTGAAAAAGAGTCAGTGGGGGGGTAGGTGGGGGGTAGGGGACCCGCCACCTACCCATGGCCGAGAAACACCGCCCGGCAGCGGGTAGCCGGCGGGCGGGCAGCTGCCCGCCGGCGACCCACTGCCCGGAACAGTAAAGTCCGGCGGGCAGCCGGCGGGTGGCCCCCACCCACCGGCTACCCGCTGGAAATTATCCCACCTTGGGATCCCGGCTTCCTCGTTTGATGTTCCCCCGTTCCCCGTGGTGTCCCAACGGACTCCGTTTATCGTGCCTATGTCTAGTTTGATATTTCGGGTACCGTTCGTAGGTTTATGAGTCTATTACATTGAATGTTAGTTGAATTGGTATCCCATTGACCTAGGTGGAAGAAGTATGAACCCCTTAGGACTATTCTTAGTATGTGATGGATCACGCATAGGTTTTGTTATACGCTTTCTCCCCCTTCCCAATGTGTAATGTGGGTTGCATGTGCTTGCTATGTGTTATGTGTGTGTGTTACCCCATTCGGTTGCGATCGGATTGGTTATCCTGAGCTGCGGTTCAGAAGCTGGCTGCGGTCAGATTGATACTCTTGGGCTGCGGTCCACCGTTTGGTTGCGATCAAACGTTTCTATACGAGCTGCGGTTCGTCCTTTTTCCTGGTTGCGGTCAGATGACATCCTCTTGGGCTGCGGTCCACTGTTTGGTTGCGATCAAACACTATGATGAGCTGCGGTTCATCGGTCGGTTGCGATCGACCCCTCCGTGTTGCGATACGGGGCAGGGTGCTGCGGGGCCGTGTCAGAGCTATATGCGCTGACCCTCATGTATGGGCATGCGATTGGTCCTGTGGCGCCAACAAAGTGTGTTATGTGTTGTGACAGGGACGAGTTGTGATCACGAGTATCTTGGGGGATGTGACTATGGGATTTATATTGGGGATTGTTCATGTTGGGTTATGATCATTGTTTATGCTTTGCCTTATCTGCCTTATCTGTTGTGAACTGCATATGCTCGTTATAACTGTTGCTTGTGTCTGGCCTTATCTGCCGAGTCATTCCCGGTTTTAAAACTAGAGTTCGTAGGATATATCTTCATGCTCAAAATGGTTTTCGTATATCTATATATATCTCTATATGTATTGTATTTCAACGCGTTGGAGTGGGTTACCAGCATCTCTCGCTGAACAGATATATTTGGATTTCAGGCACAGAGGACTAGAGCGCTGGAGCGCGCTAGAACTGGAACGTAGAAGTAGATTAGTTTCCCTTTTCGGCCTGCGCGCCATATTATGCATTGTGTTTCAATGGATATTAGTTAGACAGCCTGTGCACCTGGGTTCTCTAGCCCAGGTGTGGCATAGCACCCCGTACACTTATGATATACTTTGGGATGTAATGAGATATTACCTCTATTTTATAAGCTTAAAATGTCTTAAAAATCTGGGGTGTTACAAAAGCATAAACCACACTACTCAAGTGCACTACTCCAGCGACTACTCCAGCGACCACTCCAGCATCACCATGGTCTTGACGTGCAGGCTATCTTCATCACAACTTGAACCAGTTGAGAAACCTTCAACACACGAATATATTGATAGAAAAACCAATGGAGGATTTGAGGAATGATTTGTAGAATTTTAATCCTTGAATCTTCAACTTTAATGCTTAAGAAAGTAGCATTTTATAGTGGTGATATGAAACCTCTTTGATCTGAAAATTGATCACTTGCCATTTCAGCAGATTTGACGAGTCGGGAAGACTGAATCTCAAATATAGTTGGTAGTGGACCTTGACCAGTAACTGAGGAAGTTGCAGGCACAAAAGGCTGCCTAGAAAAATGGTTGAGTGAGCTCCCATGGTCTAATGTATTATTAGATTGAGAAGAAACATCACTAATCATAAAGTTATCAGGACTACTTCTGCCAAAGTTCTCGAGTCTAGGAGAAGAATCCATTTTCATCAATTGCCGAAGCACTGCCGCTGCTGCATCATTCATAGGTTGATACTTCACAATCTGACCGTCGGCAGGGCTGACAGAGTGATCATACAATCCAACTTCCTGTTTAAGCCTTCGTTTCTTGTTCCCTTCAGTTATGCGCCGATTGCTGTCATTTTGCTGCTGCAAAAAATGTGCCAAAAATCCAGGGTGTTAACGGCCTTTTCAAGGAACGACATCATCTGTTGTAACCACTGCTCCATACCATGTAGGCGCTGCACCATTGTTTGTAACTGATTGTCAGTAGACTGTTGATGCTACCTCAACCTAACAAGCTCTTGCATAAGTACATAAGTAGGTTTTCGCCGACTAATACTGTGACACCCCGAAAATCCATCCTTTAAATAGAATTAACTATTAATTCATTCTAAGCTTGCTTGACAAAATCCCTTCTTAAATTCTTAATTAATAGTCGGAGGACCTAAATTGACCATGTTCCTTGGTCAATTGAATTAGTCAAAGAGAAAGACATTGAGCTTTATGCCTTGTACCTAACCTTTTAATGTCCTCCTAACCTTTTTTGGAGAATAAGTGTAACACCTCGTGTTACACCCTTTAACCCCAGATTATTTATTTAATTAATTCTGTTAAAGAATAGTTAAAAAGGATTTAATCTGGTCAGGATCCCTTAATTAATTAATATGGTCCACGAAGGACCGTGGACCCTTGTTTATAATAAGGACTTTAAGTCTATTAGGAATAAAGAAAGCGGGTCTTTACTACTCAGATTCTAATTAGGAATCCTAGACCTATATACCTGTTAGGAATAGTAAATAGGTCTTTACTATTCAGACTCTGATTAGGATTCCTAACTCTATAAATAGGGGATTAGAAAGCAATTAGAACCCTTACCACCCATAGTTATATTACACGAAATTATTCCCAAAAGATTCCCCACCACCAAGCCTAGGGAGATCAATCGGAGGGAAATCTTAGAGAAGAACCTTAATAGCCAAGGGAGGATTAATTAAGGCTAAGAGGTAACCCATGTCTTACAAAACCTATTTTCCTTGCTATATCTTGATTATTGGCTCCTTTGATAATTGTATGTATGATTATGTGATTGAGTCTTGATAGAGTCTTGCCTAGGGTTTATATTGTGTTTATTTGATAATCTTGATGATCTTGATGTTGTGATTGATTATATGTGTGATCTTGTATTTAATTATGTCTAGAGCTCGTCCCTAGGGTTTATATCGTGAATCTCGTGTTATGATATTCTTGGTGTTATTGGGTGGGTTTACGCATGTTCGGGTGTTGAGTCTAGCCTAGGACTTGTCTTTAGGGCTTTGGATATAGATTTCTAGAGATTCTTGCAATTCCGGGTGCTCCTGAACCGTTATGTGATTGATGTCAAGTCTTGGCATGTTTAGGATCGTGTTAGAACGTAATTGGAATGATTCTTGGTTTAATCTTCGTTAATTGAATCTGTGATATTGTTGTTGCGTGTCAGAATGTGTTTGGACATGGTTTTGGGTTCCACGTACTAACCCCGAACTGGGAAAATCTACATTCATACCAGTGGGGGATAGGTGGGGGGATGAGTCCACACCACTTACCCACTGCCCACGGTGCCCGGTTCCAGCGGGCAAGCGACTGCCCGCCGGGCACCCGTTGGAACAGTGACGCTGCCGGCGGGTGGTCCACTACCCACTGCCCACCTGCTGGAAAGGCAAGGTGTGGCGGGGTGTTTTCCCCCGTTTGTTGTTTCCCCGTGTCCCATCGTACCCCGTTTGACGTTTGGGAGTCTCGTACGATGTTTTGAGTACCGTTCTAGGAATTTATGTGTAGTGCGTATCATTGTTATTATGTCTTGATTGTTATTGTTGATTGAATGTTGATTGATTGAAAGGTGATGAGTGTTGTGGTCATTGTGCAATGATCGATGTGACTAATGAGAATGAGATTGTGATTGGTGGAGATGAATTATTGGCGGAAAGCACAACGAGTGCTAGGTTATCGTGCTAAAGGCACGGACCACCCCTTAGACTTGCTGGCTAAAGGCTTGGGTCAGGGTATACGCGCCGCGGTGTCATGTTAGTGCTATATGCACTGACCCCTTGGTATTAGACCATGCGAATGACACTTCGGTGCTACCATGTTGGTGGACTTGTTGGTGGTTACGGAGTGGGGCATGTAGTTGCTCCGGAGGAAAAAAGGGAGGAGGTATAAGGGTGGCTTGGAGGTACATGTTGGAACTTGGTATAAGGTTGGAAGATGGATTGTGTGCTTTGATAATTACTTGCTAATTGATTGTCTTTGAGTCCCATTGTTGCCTCTATTTGTTATTTATGAGCTTACTTGTCTATTATGCATTGTCTTGTGTTCTTAGGATGCATGCTAGTCTTTATGATTGTTCTATAGTGTCAAGTCTGTTGTTGTGTCTTGAGTCTTGATCTTGATTTAAAGCTAGAGTTGCTTAGGTTATATATGTATTCCGGTTTCAAAATGATTTTCTTATATCTACCTATGTTGTACTTAACGCGTGGGAGTGGGTTACCAGCATTATTCGCTGACGGTTGTTACACCGTATGTTTTTCAGATACAGATCAGTAGCTTCGGAGTGCGCTAGATGGACACGAGGACCTAGCTTAGATAGTTTAGTATTGGTTAGATGGCCTGTGAGCATTGGATTGTATCATGGGTATTAATTATAGTTTATGCATGTTTGGTTAGTGTAGCTTGTGCATCTAGGTTCTCAAACCTAGATGTGGTATAGCACCCCGATACATATGTTGTTAGTTCCGCTTTATTTGGATGAATAATGATAGATTTGCCTTTATTTCATAGGCTTTAAATATTTTAAATATTAGGGGTGTTACAGTTGGTATTAGAGCCTAAGTTCGACACTAGGATAAGGCCCCTAAGACAAGACTTTAGGACATTAAGTTCGGACTCTGGATACTTAAGTACATAGGATCTAGGAAGTTTAGGCCACGTGGTGAGGTTGTGAGTTTATATATCATTATCTGTTTAACTTCTCCTGAATCTATTCTATGCTTAGCTTAAAAGTTCCCCATAAATTATAGCATCAATGTAAGGATGTGAATCCCTAACTTACCATTACGATTGTTGTTGATCCTGTAGATGCCAGAATGGCGCCAACGAGGAACCAGTTGAGAACCCCTGAGCCTCCTACCCAAGATTCGTTAACCCAGAACCTACAATAGTTGGTTCAGGTTGCCCAGACGTTGAGCAACGTCATCCTTAATAATAAACAACCGAACACCCCCGAATGTGAACCTAGACGTGGCTCGCAAAGTCTCGAGCCATCGCCCACCCATCTTCGCAGGGGAAGAAGGTCCTACGACCCTCGAGGAATGGATCCGAACGTTCGATAAGAACTTTGAAGTAGTGGAATACCCGGAAGGACGCGTGTGGAACTAGCCTCATTCTACTTCGTACATGAGGCTGATCTTTGGTGGGTTCACGAGGGACCTGCCTGTAGGCAAGAACCAGGATTCAAGTGGGAAACCCTGAAGGCTCGGTTACAGGGACGTTTCTACCCCGCGCATGTAAAGGTAGCCATGTACAAAGAATTCCTCCACCTGAAACAGGGAATAACTACAGTGGTGGAATACCACAAACGATTCCTCGAGCTAGCTCGTTTCGTACCTGAATCGGTGCCCACAGAGGTGACTAAAGTAGAGAAGTTTGTGGCGGGTCTCAACTTCGAAACTCGAAAGGCTTTAACCGTAAGTAAGCCCAGGACCCTCAACGAGGCTTACGCTAACATCACCAACCTTTACCGAATCCAACTTCTACAATGGGGAGTTCAGGAGCTGATCCAGAAAATGAGTAACGGAAGTGGAGGACCACCTGTAAGAAGAACTAGGACGCCAATTAAATGCAAGGAAGTGAAGTAACGCATGAACAACGCCTTTACTTAATCTTTAGTGCGAGGTAAGTATATCATGTTGACTTGTAAACCCTTTGCCTCAGCTTAAAATATCCTTCGCCCTTGAATCCCAGCCTCTCGATATTCCTAATTATTGAAACCCTTGCCTCGGATCCTTGGTTATCCTTGAAAGAAATTAAACACCCGTTATGCCTTTACTTTCTCTTTGTTGTATCTAATTTATCCTTGGAAACCTTAAATCGTTATGAGCTTGGAATCACTATATGTGAAGGAGAAAGAGAAACAGGAGGCAACTCTTGAGCTCCAACCAGTGGGCTTATATATGAAAATTGATCACTTGCCATTTCAGCAGAATTGACGAGTGGGGAAGACTGAATCTCAGATATAGTTGGTAGTGAACCTTGACCAGTAACTGAGGAAGTTGCAGGCACAAAAGACTGCCCAGAAACATGGTTGGGTGAGCTCCCATGGTCTAATGTATTATTAGATTGAGAAGAAACATCACTAATCATAAAGTTATCAGGACTTGGACTACTGTTTCCAAAGTTCTCCAGTCTAGGAGAAGAATCCATTTTCATTATTTGCCGAAGCACAGTCGCTGCTGTTGTAACAACCCAAAATTTCATTTTATTAATCCGGTATTAAGAAATCTCAAAATAGCCTTTTTCACTCCATTAAAAATTTTTGCGATCAATCGGTGCTTGAATAAAATATTTTTGTCACATTTTAAATTAATTCGACACCAAAATTGATTCTATTTCGGAAATTCCTAAACAAATTTTAAACAAGGGTTCATCTAAATAGCTTTTTGAGAAAATTCATTTTCAACCCCAAAGTATTTAAAACAGCATTTCTAGTCTATGGTTTATGTTGCATGGTGGACCACTAGACATCCAAAATCCTTTTCCCGATTCATCTTCGAGCTTATGAAAATTACTCCTTTGCTCCCAACCAATCATTGATGATCAACCTAGGATTTTGGTCCCTATATAAACTCCATTATTCCATCTTGAATCCCTGATCTCATTCTCTTGCCTCTCCCAACCTTGTCCGCTAGAAAGAAGAAAGACACACAGTAAGTTCTATTCTCCACCATTCATCTACCCACTTTGTTTTGATGCCCTCTTTGCCCATATTCATTGAGTTTTCTTAGGCTTAGTTTGTGGTTGATGTTTGGGGTGACGTTATTTCCCCCTTATGTTTTCGGTCTTTATGATGGATGCCAGACTTTTACTTTATTTCTAGTTTTACCTCTTAGCCTGTGCAATCACCACGGAGTGGTGGTTGTGGCGGTGACACTCCCACTATTTATTTATTAGTTATTTCCGTTGCTTAGTTTATGTTAATGGATGCTTAGAGTTATAATTAGGAGTTAGAAAAGTGGGGTGTTACAGCTGCATCATTCATAAGTTGATACTTTACAATCTGACTGTCGGCAGGGCTCACAAAGTGATCATCCAAACCAACTTTCTGTTTAAGCCTTCGTTTCTTGTTCCCTTCAATTATGCGCCGATTGTTGTCATTTTGCTGCTGCACTTAGTGCGCCAGAAATCCAGGGCTGTTGCAAGGAACGACATCATCTGTTGTTGTCGCTGCTCCATACCCTGTAGGCACTGCACCATTGTTTGCAACTGATTGTCAGTGGACTGTTGCTGCTGCCTCAACCTAACAAGTTCTTGCATAAGTACATTTTTGTCTCTCTTCAACCTCTCAACCTCCTCTTCAAGACCAAATTTCCTGACCTCCACACACGCCCCAACAGATGAACTCTGTCCTTGAGGTTGTTGTTGTGGGTAATTCTGTCCATGAGCAGGTTTTCGCCGACTAATACTTCTAAGCAGGTGTTTTTGATCTCTTAAAAATCCCTCATTAGCAAACTCCCAGCGGTTTGGATCAACCTTTCTAAAACCCTGCTCCACAAAGAAATCCAAATAGATATAAGACACAAGTAGGACAGTTCCACATTTTTATTAGTAAGCTAATGAATTCATGTGTCCAAACACTCTGGAACTGAATTGTTATTAATGAAAATATGGATTGAAGCAAAACATTTTTGTATGCATCCAAATACAAGTTGACAATCAAGGCTGGAGAGCAAACAAGATATGGTTATGAAAATATGGTAGTAAAATCCTTCAAAATGGATGACATTTTTTAAAGAACTCCCTTACCTATTTTTCCTGACTCATCTAATTCAGTCAGGCAGACAGCACACATATAATTAGGTCCTCGGCAGTTCATTCAAGATCCAAATGCTCAAAGTAGAATTATTCATTTATGAAAAATGGAAGAAATACTAATATAGTAGTCATAAGTCTTGTCATTTTCTACTTAGTGATGCCTGTAGTTCGTAGATAGATTATGTAGTCCAAGACTCACACCGACATCAGATCAGTGAAGAAGTAGGCACTGGAAATTATGCAAACTTACTACTGATCACATGCTTCTGAAAGGATCAAGAAGAAATTTTTTTAAAAAATTTAAAAAATAATTGAAAGTGTGCCGTGAATCTCGAATGCAAGATGTTACTAATGTTCTACTTGATTTTATATTAAATACCAATCAAATCCATTAATTAGGTTATTTAACAATAATAAATAACGGAAAAGACTGCAGAAAACAAATCAAGTACACAAGAGAATTGTTTACGCAGTTCGGAGTTCCTTCTCCTACATCTGCAGGACAACCCACCTCTGTCCAATCCGCTATAGATGCTCACCAAGGAGTTATACAATAGGTAAGTACAAAAAGGCTACCAGCCGTTACTACCACAACACCTTCCTAACATCTACTCATGATTGTACGTGCATGCCGTGACGATGTTCAAACGAAGCTTCAGCTGACCCAGGTACAGACAGTCCAGCTCAGTAAATAACCCACATAGAATAGATTAATAAAATATATTAAGAATAAAGAACTATATGGATTTTCCTTTCTCTCAATTCGTAACTTTCCATAAAGGGGAAACTTCCTTTTACAGTAGCATTTACTCCGTCAATATGATCCATGTTAATAGCCTCCTTTTTATTCGAAGAACCACAACCATTCATTTAACTTAGAGATCCACATAAGCAGCATCCACCAAAAAACAAATCGTGCTGACTTTCCTTTCTATTGTAGTCAATAATTGATAGTCATTTAATTAAATACCATATGATAGGAAATGGTCCAAAAGCTTGGCCTACCTTAAATCTATTAAAATAAAATAAATTGGCCAACATAGGTTTTAATATGTACTAACTTTGTACACTTACAATCTCCCCCTTTGATTATTTATTTGGCAAAAATACTATAGCATCTTATACTTTGGGCAAACAAGAGAAATACATTTTATTAAAAAACTCTTAGTATGTGTGCTGGACAATAACCTAAGATAAGATAAGTAATTACCCAAGCTCTTTTTGGACCATATTCCATCCAAGAATCAACAGTGGTAATTCCAAAATAATCTGTCTTGATGAAACCCAATAGAACTCCAATACATTGCAGTTAATAATAATCCAGATAGTCCAAGGAATAATAAAAAGATAGAATAGCTAAATAAAAGCTATTCTCCAAAAAGAGAACTGCATAATGGAGAGCTACTGATTTCATAATAGAGATGAAATCATAGTACCAACAGTCACGGCCCAACTCCAGCAGTCACAGACAGCAATTCATTAAACCACTTATTTACTACTGCTCCCCCTTAATTTTACCAAAACTCCCCCTTAATCCATACTCCCCCTTTTTTGCCAATTAATTGACAAAGGTGAACATCTATATTCGTGGATTGAGTTCGACGGGGTGCCAGATTGGACTGAACCTGTATAACAAGATTAGAAACAAAACGAGAAATGCAGAATGTGATAACAATTTTAGCAAATAACATATAAGCACATAAAGACACACAAGTCAAGTTGGAGCAGATTAAGTAGATAAAACATACCAAGGAATAAACACATTAAAGCACAAATTCGTAGCAAATAACACAAAAAGCACACAATTGGATCACTCAAAAAGACAGATTGGTAAATAAGACAGTAAGCACATTCAGGTAAAGCATATTCAGCCAGAGATTCAAATAAAGCAAAATCAGGCACAGATTCATATAAATCAACTTCAGGCAAGAATTCATAACAGTTAGCACAATAGGTACACAAGCAAACACAAATACGGTCATGACCGGACCAAACAAAACACATTCACATAAAACATAAAGTAACACAAGAGAATAAACATATTAATCAAATTGCACCAGATTTATCATTCAAGCAAACATATTTTAACACAAGAAACACCAACAGAATAAACAAAATTTAACTTACATGTAAAGAGACAAACAAATAAACTATCAAGAAAAGAAAAAGAGTCTGAAAGATTAAATGCACCTGATGTTTTAATAAATCCAGAGATACATGTATAAAAAAAAAAAAAAAAAAAAACTAGAAAGGACAATTCATGTTCAAAATAGATATACACACAATAATATTTAAAAAAAAATCATCTTAGGCACATTTTAAAGGAGCAAACAATGCAAACACAAATAGCATACAAGAGCAACGAGAGAAAAAAAAAACAGGGAAAAAGATAGAAGAAAAACTTTTAAGATTCTCAGACTAGGTATTGAAATAATACCAACTAAAAAAGAAGAGTTAGAGGGTACCAATATCCCTGAGTGTTTTGAAGCCTTCAAGCCAGTGAAAAATTGTTCCCTGTCAGTGTCTTATTCCTCCTCCTTATCAAAAACAAAACAAGGAAAAAATCAACAATAGAAAATTGATAAATTAGAGTAGAAATTACCTCCTCCATAGCATTCTGTGAAATTTTTGAACTTGTGTCGGAAATTGCTCGTTTGACTGGGAAGATAGAATTTTTGCGATAGAGAATTTAGCGTCTAAAAATTTCTAGCAGTGGCGGTAGCAGACGCGATCACAGAATGCTGAACGGTGCGGCTAAACCTGTTTGCAGCAGCAGAGGTTCGGTTAGAGAGCGGTGATGGCTTCAGGCGGTGAGACATGGCTGGACTAGATGGTGTCTTCGTGGTCTGCTCCGGCGATGGCGGCTTGGACGGGTGGTACGGCTGTAGTTTGTTGCCTATGGTCGGAAGAAGCAGCAGCAGTGGCAAGTTTGGCCGGTCGGAGATGTGGACGGCGACTACAGGTGGCGGTGCGGCTGTTCCTGATTGTGACGATCGCTACTAGGTGCTGATCTGCTGAAGAAAAAGCAGCTTCGGCCATGGGGACGTTGAGGAGCGATACGAAGATGCGGCTAACAGTGATGATTTTTGGGGCTTTTTTCTTTTAAGAAACTCTCCCTTTAAAAAAAAAAAATAAATAAAGAAGGGATTTTGAATAGATGGAAGTTTGTAAAAAATTGGGTACAAGAATTTTAGAAGGATAAGGAAACTTTTGAATGGAGAAAAGATTTGAATTCCTATAGATTAAACAGTCTAAAAAAAACTTAAGTAACCTGAGACATTAGCAAACTTTATTAGCAAAAAAAGGTTATTATAATTAAAAGTAGAGAATTACCTGTAATTCTTAACTGCAACCCTCAATTGCACCTTTGCCAATTTTCATTTTGAGATGCCTTAGAAATTGCTTGAGAGACAAAATCTGTTTTCTTAACCCACACTTGTTTTACAAATGGTGTAATATGTTTGTGGGTGAACTTCTCGTGCCTTTGATCTTTATAGAAGTAGTAGCATTCTGGTCTGATATGGCCACGCAACTTGCAGTAATGACACACGGGGTTATAGAGTTTATAAAATTGGTTATTTGACCGTACTATACCATTATTTTGTCGCTCTAAGCTGGATTCAAGTATGTCCACTGGATTTGGTCCTGATGCTTTGACGAATACAATTTCATCTTTTGAAATTCCCTCGGTGACTCCCAGAATAAATTTTTCAGAAGACTTTCTTCCTGAATCAAGTATTTGGTCAAGTGTTGAGGCTGTGTCCATCATTTGGATTTGTCTTTTGAAGGTGTTCAACTCTTGCTTCAGGGTCTGTACCTCCTGTTTCAGTCTCTCTTCTGGATCAGACGCCTCTTTAAGCAGTAAATCCCTATTAGCTACTTGATTTTGGTACACTTTACTAGTATTGGCTAATATTCCTATCTCACTAGTCAATTGACGATTAGCTTTTAGCAGGGCTTCCCACTTGGGATACAATTTATTAAACTCTACTTCATAAGAAAAAGCAGGTAAATCTAAATCTTCCGCGGAGCCATATTCGCCTTCTTCTGAATCAACTATGTCTCCACGTTCTGAACACGCTAAAACACGAGCAGTGAATGCTACAAAGTTACCAAAAATTTCTTCTGAATCAGATCCAGCTGCGTCAGTCCCAGGTTCGTCGTCACTCCATGTAATGGCCGACATAGATTTTTTACGTCTTTGATAGGTGGGACATTCCGCTTGGACGTGACCGAAGCCTTCACACTTATGGCATTTTATCCCTTTATTGCTAGATTTTTCTTTGGATTGCCCTGGACGTGAGACAGAAGATTTGAAATTTGATGAGCCCGTCCTAGGGCCAGCTTTTGATGTATTTGACATTGATCCTTTTTGTGGTTTGTTGTTGCGGGAATTCTTTGACACTTGTTTCAAGATTTTAGAAAATTGCTTAGTTAAAAACACAACAATATCATCACCTGGTTCATCTGAGCCATAGGCAGCATTATTTTCTTCAGTGGAAGAAGCTAAGTTTTTTTGTTTTTTTCATGTGATCGGTAAGGATTTCCATTTCATATGTTCGAAGGTTTCCCATTAATTGAGTAACATTCTTATTTTCCCAACCGTCATGTTCCTGAATGGTAGTGACCTTCATCCTGAACCTGGCAGTAGAGATCTCAGAATTTTCCAGTTTTGCTTGGGAAAAAGGTTCACCAAGGACCATTGCACGATTCGCCAATTCTTGCACTCGGCTATGGAAGCTAATGATGTTCTCTTCTTTACTCATTCGAAATTCTTCAAAGTCAGA